CAAGGGCACCTCCCCCGCACGGCGTTCTGCGCAGGCGCAGCTCTGGGGGGCGGGGCGGGGCGGTCTCAATAAAGGAAATTTTGTTTCGGGAAGTCCCGGCATTTGTGGGGAGGGATCCTGGTGCTTGTGTGTGCTGTAGAAGCGTCGGCACAGAGCACGTGGCACAGCCGTGTGTCTGTCGGTTCTTGAATGTCTCCGGTACGGGAGACTCTACACCCTCTTGGGCCAATTGTTCCAGTGGTCAGTCACATGCGCGGTAAAAGTTCTTCCTCATGTTCAGGTGGAGCTTCATCAATTTCTGCGTGTTGCCTCTTGTCCTCTTGCCTGGCACTACTGACAGGAGCCTGGCTCCATCCTTTTGACACCCTCATTCAGACACGGGTAAGCAGTGATGAGATCCACTCGAGGGGTCGTTTCTCCTTGAGTCTAAACAGGCCCAGCTCGCTCAGCCTTTCCTCCTAAGAGAAACACTCCTTTAATCACCTCTCTTGCTCTCTGTTGGACCTGCTCCGGGAGCTCCATGTGTCTGTCTCTTGTCCTGAGGAACCCAGAAGTGGACACAGCACTCCAGGTGTGCCTCATCAGGGCTGAGTACAAGGGGAGGATCTTCCTTCTGTGACCTGCTGGCAATGCTCTTCCTAATGTCCCCCAGGATCCCACTGGCCTCCTTGGCCACCGGGACACACTGCTGGCTCATGGGCAGCTTGTTGTCCACCAGGAACCCCAGGTCCTTCTCCAAGCTGCCCCCCAGCAGGTCAGCCCCAAGCCTGGTTCAGACCCACAGGATTACTGAAGGAGTCGCAGTGTGAATAACAAGCACAGTGCAGGGTGTGTGTACGTGATTATCTATCCGTAATCAAATAATCAGCAAGGTGAATGCTGGCTTTCTCTGCTCTCCATTAGGGACTGTGAGAGGGCACATATGATGTGTAAGACACAAATACAGCTAATTTTAACAGTGTTCTGTGCTCCCCAGCTTTGGGTGGGCCATAGGTTTAGCAAATGGGTAACACGTGTTCCATAAGGTTAAGTAGCAGTGGTTTGAGTACTGTTATGGTAAAGTATGCTAGGCTTTATCTTGTCTGTCCATCTATTATTGCCTTGTGTGGCAATAAATGTACTTAGTATTTGTTCTTGACTCTTCTTGACTCTTCTACTCTGTACTTCTGTAGGTCAAAATACTTCATACTGATCATATGATGATAGTCCACTCTAATTAGCTGGCTTCTCCTTTAGTCATTCTAGTTTTAACAAGCATGTGAAAGTGTGGTTTAAGAAACGATAAAATAATTTATTTAATCCATTGATTCAGCTTATCCTTGGAGATACAACCCTATTTATTCCAATAGAAATACCCACAGTATACAGGCTGTTGATTTCTAGAGTTTTAGGACTAATGCATTATAAAATGCATCTTTTTGCATTCTTATTTCAGTGACTCAGATCATCGTTTTGTACGATGCATCCTATTTTAGAGGAAAAGTCTAATCAGCTTTTCAAAGCTGTATCTGCTACAACCCTGCCTGATGGTAGATGTTCTTGCTGCCTTGGAACTGCACAGCTTTATAAAATTTTGTTATTAAGGTATTGATTTAAAAAAAGTACAAGATTGTGTAAAAGAGGGAAAAGTCAGAAAGGCATTGGGAATGAGCAATTTTACATTGCAGTGCATATTAAGAAATGGGTGTAAGTTGTCTTTCAAAGTGAGACATATTTGTAATACTGAAATTTCAGTTACATGTCAGTGAGACA